ATAGAGATATGCAGACTATTACACTGGATACTCCGAATCAAACACTAATGGGCATGTATGTGATACATGAAACATTTCTGTCAAAGTAGCCAGTGTGAGATAGTCTGCTTGCTTGTAAATGCGCTGGACAAAGCAGGCACTGAAAGATGAACTCAGGGCTTCAAATTCCCAGCTCATTTTGAGATTCGATGACTGTTTACTGCCCTTGTCTCTACTGTTGAGTAACAGTGTTTTTTGTGGTTTTTTTTGGATTTATTTGTTTTTTTTTTAAGATTTTTTTTTTTTTTTTTAAGATTTATATATATTTTTTTGAAAGTCAGAGTTATAGAGAGGAGAGGCAGAGAGAGAGAGGTCTTCCATCTGAAGGTTCACTCCCCAATTGGCCGCAACGGCCAGAGCTCTGCTGATCCGAAGCCAGGAGCCAGGAGCCAGGAGCCAGGAGCATCCTCCAGGTCTTCCCACACTGGTGCAGGAGCCCAAGGACTTGGGCCATCTTCTACTGCTTTCCCAGGCCATAGCACAGAGCTGAATCAGAAGTGAAGCAGCCGGGACTCGAACTGGTGCCCATATGGGATGCCAGCACTGCAAGTGGTGACTTAACCTGCTACACCATGGCGCTTATTTGAAAGAGTTACACAGAGAGAGATGGAGAGGCAGAGAGAGAGAGAGAGGTCTTCCATCTGCTGGTTCACTTCCCAATTGGCCGCTATGGCCAGAGCTCTGTTGATCCAAAGCCAGGAGCTTCTTCCAGGTCTCCCACGTAAGTACAGGGGCCCAAGGACTTGGGCCATCTTCCACTGCTTTCCCAGGCCATAGCAGAGAGCTGAATCGGAAGTGGAGCAGCCGGGACTTGAACCTGCACCCATATGGGCTGCCAGCAGTACAGGTGGTGGCTTTGTCTGCTACGCCTTGTCCTTCTATTTGTTGAATTCTTTATTTAGTGGAGGGTTAACCTTATGATTATAGGATAAACTGAAAGTATGTCATTGTAAAACTTAAAGAATGAGGAAGGAAGGAGGAAGGAAGGAGGAAGGAGGGTGGGCGAGTGGATGGGAGGGAGGGCGGGTGGGAAGTGTCACTATACACTCCTAAATCTGAATATGTGAAATACATGAAATTTGTTCACCTTATATAAATTTTGAAAAATTTAAAAAAAATTTCCCAGCTCAAGGGCCACAAAAATAATCTGAAAATTCCCAATGGGCTCTGAAAAAAACCCTCATCACCTGTAGCCACAGAGCCAAGGCTTCAGACAACCAGACTCAAAGTCCTCTGCTGTGAGTAGATGAATTACAAGGCACACAGAGTTTGTTTCCAGTCTCGTGGGCTGTTAGAGTGATTGGGAAGGACAGAGTCTGAAATCTGGAAGGAAGAGACGCGGGCACATGCTGACGAAGCTGGGTGCACTGACCTTGTAAGTTCTGCTGCTTCCTCCACCAGGAGAAAGCAGCCTTCCCACCTCCATCTATTTTGCCTGCAAAATCTAAAATGGCATCCCCCTGAGGTGGTTGTCCTGCAAGACACTGCTAATTTTCCTTAGAATTCACACTCACCAACTTCTTTTGCTTCTAGATCTATAGCTAGACTCAGGTCCCAGCAGGTGCTGAAAGGTGAAGTAGAAAGTGTGACCCAAGAAGTGAATTATATTCCCCAAGAACTGCCTGGGCTTTCCAATTGGTACAGATTTAAGTCTGTATTAAGAATGGATGTTATTGGTGTTAAGATAATGGGGGAGGGCCGGCGCTGCGGCTCACTAGGCTAATCCTCCACCTTGCGGCGCTGGCACACCAGGATCTAGTCCCGGTCGGGGCACCGGATTCTGTCCCGGTTGCCCCTCTTCCAGGCCAGCTCTCTGCTGTGGCCCGGGAGTGCAGTGGAGGATGGCCCAAGTGCTTGGGTCCTGCACCCCATGGGAGACCAGGATAAGTACCTGGCTCCTGCTATCGGATCAGCGCAGCGTGCCGGCTGCGGTGGCCATTGGAGGGTGAACCAACGGCAAAGGAAGACCTTTCTCTCTCTCTCTCACTGTCCACTCTGCCTGTAAAAAAAAAAAAAAAGGTTGAGGGGCCGGCACCGTGGCTCACTTGGTTAATCCTCTGCCTGCGGCGCTGGCATCCCATATGGGCACCGGGTTCTAGTCCCGGTTGCTCTTCTTCCAGTCCAGCTCTCTGCTGTGGCCTGGGAAAGCAGTGGAGGATGGCCCAAGTGCTGGGCCCTGCACCCTCTTGGGAGACCAGGAAGAAGCACCTGGCTCCTGGCTTCGGATTGGCACAGCGCCGGCCGTGGTAGCCATTTGGGGGGTGAACCAACGGAGGGAAGACCTTTCTCCCTGTCTCTCTCTCACTGTCTATAACTCTGTCAAATAATAATAATAATAAAAGATAATGGTGGAAGGAACATAAAGTTGGATCAGAATAAATTCATTGATAAGGGCCTGTTAGGCAGGGAGTTGATGCAACCTTGTAGCTCAAGGATTTAGATTGGTGCTGAGGCATGGGCCTCAAAGTAGCCTACTCTCAAAAAGTTGAGATGCCGTGGCTACCTTTGGCATATGAGAGAAGACAATATCCCAGGTCTGTGGGAAACTGAAATGTTGGAGTGGACTAGTCAGGTAAGATCTGCTCACTCATCCCAGGAGGGTACAGCAACCATGACTTGGCTTGACCAGGCTTCAGTCAGGCTCCTGAGTCTTACGCAAGACCATCTGTGCATTTCCTTGTAAATGTTGAAACCTATGCATAATTTTTCATAATATGCATTTCCTACACTTTTTGAAGTGTCCTCGTATTTGTCAGAAGGGAAGAAGTAAATTCTACAAAAATGCAGGTGCCTTCCGCCTCAGTGAAGTTTCTAGGAGTCTAGTGATACGGGGCACATTGAGAAGTCCCTTTTAAGGTGAAGGATGAATTGTTGCATCTGGCCCCTCATAACACCAACCCTTGGGACTTCTTTGGATTTTGAAGACAACTTATCTCTCATTTGAGTGACAGTTTTGGGTAGGGCCTAGACAAGAAAAGGCTCTGCAATGGGTCAGGCTTCTGCACAGAGTCCCTCTGTCACATGGGCCATATGATCCAGCAGATCGTAGGGGTGCAAAGGGTCAACAGCATTCAGATGCGGTTTGGAGCCACTGGAAGGCCTCCACAGGCAAATCAGTGCAGACCCTTGGGATTCTGGAACATATCATCCTCTGCAGAGGACTACTTTCTTTTGGAGAAACAGCTGTTTGTTCCTGGGCCTTAGTAGAGGCTGAACTGCTTAATCGTGGGCTACCTGGTTACCCTACAGCCTGAACTGCCTATCATGAACTAGATGTTGTCTGACCCACTGAGCCATAAAGTTGGGCTTTCACACCAAATGCAGGTTGGAAGTTAAGTGTGTAGTATAGCGGTTAAGACATTGCTTGGGATGCCTACATTCCATATTGGAGTGCCTGGGTTTGAGTCTAGGCTCCTCTCCTGATTCCAGGTTCCTGTTAATGTGCACCCTGGGAGGCGGCGGGCTGATGGCCCAAGTACTTTGGCCCCTGCCACTCACATGGGAGACTTGGCTTGAGTTCTAGGATCCTAGCTTCAGCCTGGCCCAGCTTCAGCTGTTGAAAGCATTTATGGGAGTGGACCAGTGGATGTGAGCTCTCTGTCTATCCTTCTGCCTTTCAAATAAATAAATAAATAAGTGAAAGTGGTATATATATAATCTGATGATCTAAGGCAGTGGTCCAAATGCCGATGGTCCTCCTACCACATTACCTGCTAACGGTGGTTTCACGGGTGGAATTCTCCTATGATCAACTGACTGAGGAGAAAGCTTGGGCTTACTTTATAAATGGTTGTGCAGGGGCCGGCGCTGTGGCTCACTAGGCTAATCCTCCGCCTTGCGGCGCCGGCACACCGGGTTCTAGTCCCGGTCAGAGCGGCCATTGGAGGGTGAACCAACGGCAAAAGGAAGACCTTTCTCTCTGTCTCTCTCTCTCTCACTGTCCACTCTGCCTGTCAAAATAAATAAATAAATAAATGGTTGTGCAAACTACGCAGGCACCATCTAAAAGCACACAAATACCATCCTTTCTGGGACATCCATGAGGGACGGTGATGAAGAGAAATCCTCCCGGTAAGCAGAACTTCAACTTGAACCTGGTTGCTCGTTGTGTGGAAGAAATGGCCAGATGTTTAATCATAAATAGAATCATGACCTGTGGCCAACAGATTGACTGGTTAGGGACTTGGAAAGACCATGATTACAACACTGGTGACAAGAGTCTGGGGAATAGGCCTGTGGCTAGACCTAAGTGGACAAACCATATCAAGGAGAGCTCAACAGAGGAATGTTTTAACAATCAAATGGATAAGTATGACCCTTTCTGTAGATACATCTGTATCTGATACAGCTGCCCTTTTCTGTTTTTTTTTTTTTTGTTGTTGTTGTTGTTTTTTTGCCAGGCAGTTAGACAGTGAGAGAGAGAGACAGAAAAAGACTTATAGACAGTGAGAGAGAGACAGAGAGAAAGGTCTTCCTTCCATTGGTTCACCCCCTCAAATGGCTGCTACAGCCGGCGTGCTGCATTGATCTGAAGCCAGGAGCCAGGTGCGTCCTCCTGGTCTCCCATGCAGGTGCAGGGCCCAAGCACTTGGGCCATCCTCTGCTGCCTTCCCGGGCCACAGCAGAGAGCTGGACTGGAAGAGCAGCAACCAGGACAGAATCTGGCACCCTGACCAGGACTAGAACCTGGGGTGCCAGTGCCGCAGGCGGAGGATTAGCCTAGTGAGCTGCAGCACCGGCCTAACAGCTGCCCTTTTCATTACCCAATAGGCTAATGATCAAAGTGGCTATGGTGGCAGAGAGAGGCCATAACTACTGGCTTCACTGTTTTCCCCACAGTGCAGCACAGCACTCTTGCATGGGTGCCCAATAAATACTTACAAGAGTAAATACATTTATAATGAACATTCTAAAGTATTGAGGAAAAAAGATCACGAGATCACGGAGCAGCTCTTGGTAATAGTTTTACTTATTAACTTAAATTTAAAAATAGAGATGATCACAAACATTTGCACACTTAAGTGTTTATAGAGAAATGGCTTGAGATACATAGTCACATTAATGTTTGGGTAAACAACAGAACACACATACTGCAGTAGTCCCATCACATCACATCACATCACCTAGTGACACGGTAGTCACCTTAGTCTATGGAAGAACACTCCTAGGTTTGCACAAGGAAATCTTTGAGAACACATTTCTCAGAACAATCTCCACTGTTAAGCAACATATGGCTGTTCTTTCTAAAATCTAAGTTTTTTCTTCTTGAATCTTAGACTTCTCAGTTAACAGTGCAATTAATTTAGAAAACACCCAGTTTGTTCTCACAGGCAAAACACACAAATGCAAAATGCACATGATGTTTTGAATGGACATTTCCTAATTATTTCAAGTCTTCAATTTCCTTCAAGCTCATGTGTTACCATGACATTCACACCCCAGCCAATTCCTCCCTCATAATTTGCTCAACTGTCTCTAGCTCCCCTTTCCTTTCTCTGCAATTTAGCTAGGAGAACAAAATAATTTAGATGTTGAAGTGTAGGAAATGCTGGTACGAAGTTTATGTTTCAAGGCAAATTTTTCCAGTCAATTGGCTTCTCTGAAAAATATTTTTAGGCCCAGATGTAATTTGGAACTTTTCAGTGATTTTGAAAATTACGAGACCTTCAAAAATCTGCTATGGTTTACACAACTGAGGGGTAATCTGCTTTGAGACTTAAAATTTCCTGCTGCCAACAAAGCAAAATGAAGGAATAATCCTTCATCAGAAAACACTCCAGACTCAGTGTGGTAGAGTGGATATCCCAAAGCTGGCTGTAGATAGGCTGTTGAGAGCTTTCTGGAATATGCCTCCCTCGCCTCTCATGCACTCCACGATGGAGTACGGCTCAGTTAAACATCTCATCTGCTCATCCCTTGTATTCTTATTTTACATACATCGCCACGATTATTCCTGCTAATAAAAACACACGCCTGTTGCAGGAAGATAAATAACTACCCATACTTCCTCTGAAGTCTCGCCTGTTTACTGTCTTTTAAACAGGCAAACATTGTTTTGTTTGTATTTACTACTATGCATTTAACTATATGCTTGGTGTGTTTTGCTCTTTTGAGATCAATTCCAGGGATTAAATAGCTGAAATCTAAGTTTGGCTTAGTGACTTCCAGCCTGTCTTTGGCTTGTGATCTCTTACCCAGCTCAAGGCCAGAACTATTTTCATAACCTATCCTAATCTTTCATTGACCTTGGACACATTTCTCTACCTATTACCTAACCCCTGAGATTTGTTAATCACAAGAAAAATTTATTTTTGCTCTCATGAGGTAACCAATGAGGTTTTCCTAGCAGAGCCAGGTGTACTGTCAGCAGACCTGACAAAACAACAAAACAGCTTCAGCCACCCATCTGAGTCTGGCCCATCCTCAAACTGCATAGTCACATGGTCTTCACCAGCAAGTCATCTCGGAGGGTTCTCCTTTTCTATTCTCTAACACCTATGAATCTCAATGTCCAGTCACTTTTCTACAAACTGAATATTTTCTTAATTCTCCTTTGTCCATCCAGACTGTCAAATTTTACTGGATTCAAGAGTTAGTCAGGTTCTGGTGTTCTACTACATGGCAAGGTGACTATGATTATAATACTGTATCATGTATTTCTAAACAGCTGAGAGCTTTTTGTGTTTCTTGTTCAAGCTAAGGTTTTTTGTTTTTTTTTTTTTTTTTTTTTTTTTTTTTTTTGACAGGCAGAGTGGACAGTGAGAGAGAGAGACAGAGAGAAAGGTCTTCCTTTTGCCGTTGGTTCACCCTCCAATGGCCGCCGCTGCAGCCGGCGCACCGCGCTGATCTGATGGCAGGAGCCAGGATCCAGGTGCTTTTCCTGGTCTCCCATGGGGTGCAGGGCCCAAGCACCTGGGCCATCCTCCACTGCACTCCCTGGCCATGGCAGAGAGCTGGCCTGGAAGAGGGGCAACCGGGACAGAATCCGGCGCCCCGACCGGGACTAGAACCCGGTGTGCCGGCGCCGCAAGGTGGAGGATTAGCCTATTGAGCCACGGCGCCGGCCCAAGCTAAGGTTTTTAGGTGTTCTTATGAGAAAGAAATGATGAGGTGATGATATGCTATCATCCTACAATGTGTACATGTATCAAAAATCATATCACACCACTAAATATATAAACTATAAAAAGTTGGTCAGAAACAGCCAGTGAGTGGCTGACATAAACTCTGCATAATTTAAGTAGAAGCCATCGTTTTTCTCCTAATGTGCCACAGGCACACTGAATCACCTCTTCAGGGCCAAATTATTTTTCCTGATTACACAAGAAAGGTAATGCATCAAACCAGAAAGAAGCCCAGAGCAGATGTTTGGCGTAGGGGTGCAGACACCAGTTAAGATGCTGCACCCCATCGCAAAAGGCCTGGGTTTGATTCCCAGCTCCAGCTCCTGAGTCCAGCTTCCTGCTGATGTGTACCCTGGGAGAAAAAGGGCACGCCTCAAGTGCTTGAGTACTTCTACTGCCACTCACGTGGAAGACACAGATTGAGTTCCTAGCTCCTGGCTTCAGCCTGGCCATTGTGCACATCTGGGGAGTGAACCTATAGATGGGAGCTTTTTTCAGTTTCTCTCTAAAGTTTTATTTTTAAATTTTAAAAAATTTTATTTATTTCAAAGCCAGAGTTACACACAGAGAGAGAGAGAGGTCTTGCTCCTTTGGTTCACTCTCCAAGTGGCTGCCAGGGCCAGGGCTGAGCCAGGCTGAAGCCAGGAGCCAGGAGCATCATCCAGGTCTCCCATGTGGGTGACAGGGGCTCTTTCCAGGTCATTAACAGAGAGCTGATTTGGAAGTGGAGTGGCTAGGACTCAAACCAGCACCCATGTGGGGTGCCAGTGTCGTAGGCAGTGGCTTAATCCTATACACCACAATACTGGCTGCAGTTCTCAAGTTTAAAAAAATTACTAAAAAGAAAGAAGTCCCATCTCTACATACTGAGTTAAAATTTATTTTAAAAGGTAAAGAAAGCTTTATACATCCTTTTAAAAAATGAAAATTCAAAAGTCTTAGAATTAAGTAGTGAGTCTTCAATATCATAAGGCTGTTTATAACAGTAGTTAAAATAGTGGTAACATTTTACCCTTGTAAAAATGTCACAGAATTCAAATCACAACTTGGATCCTCAGAGATTCAAGTGTTTTATCTTGCACAATAAGGCCTTGTCAGTTTTAAGATAAAAATCCCTCTGGACGTACATCCTCAGGTCCTCCATGTTGCCATCGTCAGCTCACACCGTGGGATAGCTAGCTGCCGTGGCAATCCCACAGTGGTTGTCCTTGTCTCTGATGATCTTCACATAGCCTTCGTCGCCCCAGGTTGTACCCCAGCTGAAAGAGGAGCAGGTTTGAGTTTTATATAAAGAATTCAATGAACCATTAGCTTATTAATCACAGCACTTAAAAAATAGTGCTTACCACTCATCAGGTCCTACTCTAAGTGCTATCATATCTTTCTATAAGTATATTAATTTCTGTGGGTCCTTATCTTGACTTTTTTTTTTTTTTTTTTTTTTTTTTTGATAGGCAGAGTGGACAGTGAGAGAGAGAGACAGAGAGAAAGGTCTTCCTTTGCTGTTGGTTCACCCTCCAATGGCCGCCGCGGCCGGTGCGCTGCGGCCGGCGCACCGCGCTGATCCGATGGCAGGAGCCAGGAGCCAGGTGCTTTTCCTGGTCTCCCATGGGGTGCAGGGCCCAAGCACCTGGGCCATCCTCCACTGCACTCCCTGGCCACAGCAGAGGGCTGGCCTGGAAGAGAGGCAACCGGGACAGAATCCGGCGCCCCGACGGGGACTAGAACCCGGTGTGCTGGCGCCGCTAGGTGGAGGATTAGCCTAGTGAGCCGCGGCGCCGGCCATCTTGACTTTCAAAGATAGAAAATTGAAAAATTGATGCAGAGCTGGGACTCCAATATAGCTGTTTTCAGATGCTACCTTATATTCCATTCAATTAAAGATAATCTACATGTACAAATTGATCCTGACAACCTGAGGGCCACAGAGTGAAATGTGATGCAGGCATCAAACAATAGGAAGGGACAATGTGTCAGCCACCGGATTCTCTGACAATCTCTGACTTCACAAATCAGCTGAGGAAGATGTTCAAAAACTAAAGACAAGATGGAAACCAGCCCTCAATCTATAGGCCCACGATCTTTTATCTGAAACCCTGAAGCCAGATATGTTCCAGATTTCCTAAGAAAACTTTTAGAATTTAGAAATACTTATAAATATATATAAGTAACCCCCAAAAGACCAGTATAGAATCTTATAATCAAACATTAATAATTCTGTGTTCACTGTAAATGGAAGAAAGATTTCTAGGCTTCTAGATTTCAAAATCGAGCTTTTATGGACTAGAATCCAAATGCTGATTCCAAACATTTCCCTTTTCAATTTAAGATACAAATATGCTGTGTAGAGTTTTATACCTGTTCTTCACAAGCCAATATTTAGTGGCATTTGAATTTGTTCCTTCAAAGCCATAGCCAACCACCAAAATACCATGGTCAAGATCTTTGCTGCTGCAGTCTGGATCATAATAAATGCCTGAGAAAGTAAGATGGACATTGGGGTAAGAAGCTCCAAGCAACATGTCAAAGAGACCTACCCTATCCCCTAGTGAGAGAGGCACCTCCAAATTCAGTGGAATGTCATAAACAAACTCCAGATACTGTGTAAGGCTTAAAAATATTTGGCCAAAACAGTAATGGCTGATAAGGGAAACATCAATTTTTTTTTCCTTTCTTTTTTTTTCTTTTTATAGGCAGAGTGGACAGTGAGAGAGAGAGACAGAGAGATAGGTCTTCCTTTGCCGTTGGTTCACCCTCCAATGGCTGCTGCGGCCGGTGCAACACGCTGATCCGAAGCCAGAAGCCAGGTGCTTCTCCTGGTCTCCCGTGTGGGTGCAGGGCCCAAGCACTTGGGCCATCCACCACTGCCCTCCCGGGCCACAGCAGAAAGCTGGCCTGGAAGAGGGGCAACCGGGATAGAATCTGGTGCCCCAACTGGGACTAGAACCCAGTGTGTTGGCGCTGCAGGTAGAGGATTAGCCTATTGAGCCACAGCGCTGGCCTCAATTTTTTTTTAAAGATTTATTTATTTGAAAGTCAGAGTTACACACAGAGAAGGAGAGACAGAGACAGAGACAGAGATCTTCCATCTGCTGGTTCACTCCCCAATTGGCCACAACGGCTGGAGGAGCACTGATCTGAAGCCAGGAGCCAGAAGCTTCCTCCGGGTCTCCCACATGGGTGCAGGGGCCCAAGCACTTGGGCCATCTTCCACTGGTTTCCCAGGCCACAGCAGAGAGCTGGATCGGAAATGCAGCAGCCAGGACTCAAACAGGTGCCCATATGGGATTCCAGCACTGCAGGCAGCGCAGTCTTACCCACTATGCCACAACACTGGCCCAGGAAACATCAATCTTAATTCATCAGAAATCAATGAAATCAGGGACATTTTCCACTTTAAAAAATTCCAAAAAAAAAAAAAACCAAAAAAAAAACAAAAAAAAACTAAAGGCTAAGATATTTTAGCCATTCATCTTCCAGACAAAGCACTAATCAGCATAATCCCATCCTACTCCTTGTCAGTTTAAAATACAAAACACCTTTAAGCCATGGGTTTCTTTACAGTCCTGATTACAGCAGTAAAAATGTTCAGAAAAATAGGTTCAGCAGGGGCCGGAGCCGTGGCACAGTAGGTTAATCCTCCACCTGCGGCGCTGGCATCCCATACGGGCGCCAGGTTCTAGTCCGGGTTGCTCCTCTTCCAGTCCTGGGAAAGCAGAAGATGGCCCAAGTGGTTGGGCCCCTGCACCCGCACGGGAGACCAGGAGGAAGCACCTCGCTCCTGGCTTTGGATCGGCACAGCTCCAGCCATTGTGACTATTTGGGGAGTGAACCAACGGAAGGAAGACCTTTCTTTCTGTCTCTCTGTCTGTAATTCTACCTGTCAAATAAATAAATAAATAGGTTCAACAATTGAATAGATAGGTAAATTACACTGTAGCTATAGAACTAATTGTATAGTCATATAAAAATATTTAGTTTATAATCATGAGAAAATGCTTAATTATGTCAAATGGAAGCATCACTATGTTAAATGCACATCAGGCAATCCTACACTGTTGGAAAGTACATAATACTAAAAGGCTGACCAGAAATTCAGTGAAAACCTACCTGATTTATAGAACTGGAAGGACATATGGCCTGCGTCAATAGCAGCAGAGATGGGCCCCACCGTGGCCACGGCCCTCAGGAGGGCCTTCTCATGCCCAGGGATGTCCACGAAGCCAGTGTCATTAGCCACAGAACATTCAGGCTTGTACTTACAGGTTCCATCCTTTCAGAGTTAAAGGGGAGAGACTTGATTACTACCACTTACCTCTTAGGAATTACAAGTTCTAGAATCAAGATACTCGGCAATCTGTAGCCTATGTTTTATGTTACAAAATCATCCCAGGAAGTAAAATGCTCCGAGTATTAGCTGATTTGACACTGAAAAATCAGGTGAAGTTTCTCTGACGACACCTCTTGTTCACAAGAAATTCTTTACAGTGGAAAAACCTATGATACGTAGAATGGTGTGTATATTCTCCATGTTACACAGAAGCAAGAATAGCTAGGTATTCACCATCTCAGAAAACTGTGCAGAAAGCTAATAATGTATGACAGTACTGACAGTTTAGAGACAGAGACGGCACCATCCAAGATGTGCATTCTAAAAAACTCATGTTATTTCTGAAAGCGTTCAACTTTCCCAAAAGCAGAGCTAGAATGATAAACTGAAAAGCTCCACGTACCATTCCTTCATATGGATAGGATTCCTCCGAGTCCAGGCCGCTGTTGTCCTTAACGTACTGGAAGGCGTAGTCCATGAGGCCACCATTGCAACCCTGGTTGCCCTGAGGGTGAGAGCAGTCCACGAGGTTCTGCTCGCTCAGGGAGATGAGTTTCCCCGTCTTCTGGAACATCTGCCCTTCGAGGGCTCCAGTGGCACTGAAAGCCCAACAAGAACCACACTGGCCCTGAAAAGACACAACAGTTCACATATCTGAACACTGAACTGTATGCTTCTTCCTCAAAGCAACCCTGCCCGTTTCTTCTTGGTTTCTCTGTGGGACACAGATGGCTTGAATCTGACATTGTCATACCTGATTCTTCACCGGAGTCACATAGCCTTTCTCTCTCCAATCCACAGATTTGGGGTATTGAAGCAACAGAGGGTCACGAAACATTTTCCCCTTCTTGTGTTTCTGGTTTTGAAAGCCATTCATCACTTGCCTGAATTCTTCATTGGTCTTCAAGGAACGGTAAATAAAAAGTTGACAAAGCAACAGGTTACTTTGGTAAAGAGTCAGGGAGAGGAGGTGCCGGGTCACGGGATCTGCAGCACACTCACCATGTCGCCGTAGGCGTT